GGGACACTGCCACTAGGCAGCCTTGGATCTGAGGCCCCGAAATGAGGGCACAAAGGTGGAGCCAGTTCACCCAACAGTTCAGGCCTGGGAACAGGAGCCCAGGAGCCTCACCTTCACCACTCGCTCTATCCGCAGAGTGGGTTAGCAGCTATCACACTCAAGGCTGCTTGTGGCGATCACACAGGATAATCAGCGCGGACCAGTACCAAAGTTAAGACAAAAGAGAAGAGTTAGTTATGACGGCCAAGAAGGGCTGGCTGAGGGGACTGGCTTAAATTATAAAAGAAACCCAAATCCAGCCCAGCTCCCCTCCTTTGTGGGCCTCAGTCGGACCACCGGGCACTCATGCTGCTTTCTGGACACGTGGGAGGAGGTTGCCCGCTCTGGGACCTGGGGCAGGCCTTTGTGAAGCTCTGGAAGCCAGGTCTGAGTGCCCCATGCGGACAAGCAGGCCTGCAAATAAGTGGTGCCTCTTGCTAGATCCACCTCCATTTGGAATCAGGAGTCCCGGCTTCCAGGCTCCGCCAGAACCCTGCGCAGTCGTCTAACTTCCCTGTTTCTTAGTTTTGCTCATTTGCTCCATGGGGATGATCTTACTTACCCTGAAGATCTTTATGAGAACGAAATGAGATTTTTAAAAAACATATCAATGCGTACATTGCTAATTATCATTAGACTGGAGTTTCAGCGCAACTCCTGGGTGTTCTGAACGGTTTCACTATCTAGAATTATCCCAGGCTGATTGCTGTTCCTGGATGCTGACTTTTTAAAAACAACCTTTTTATTTTGGAGTACTTTGAGATTTATAGAAAAATTCCAACAGAGAGTCCCACTTGCTCTTCACTCAGTTTCTCCCAATGTTAGCATTCTACATAACTATGGTCCGTTGTAAAAACTAAGAAGGCAATACTGGCCCATGTGCGTAAATAAACTGCAGACCCTAATCAGATTTCCCCAGTTTATCTACTAATGTACAGCGGTACCTCGGTTTTCGAAAGTGATCTCGGTTTTCGGAAGACCGTTCGAGTTCTGAAACGTTCGAGAACCGAGGGATCCACAGCTGACAGCTGGGCCTCAGGATCTTGCCCTCAGTGGAAGCCTTGGGGCGTGTTTGATTTCCTAGGCGTGTTCGAAGCATTTTCTCTGGGGTTTACAGCATTGGTAACCCAAAATGCTCGTCAATGGAGACATTCGAAAACCAAGGTACCACTCACTGTATGTCCTTTCGCTGTTTTAGGACTCAAGCCAGGACACCATATTGCACTGAGTCATCACGTCTCCTTGGTCTCATCTGGTCTGTGATGGTCTCTCCGTCTTTCCTTGTCTTTCATTCATTGAGGCCATTTGGTTTTGCCTGACAGTTTTTCTCCTGCTTGGACTGGGGTTATGGGTTTCGAGGAACAGTGAAGTACTCTTCTCATCACATCATATCAGAGCAACATACTTACTACTGATGGTATCAACCTTAACCCCTTGGTTAAGGTGGGGCCTACCAACTTTCTCCAAGTAAAGTAACTACTTCCCTTCCCATGCTCTAGTCTTGAAAATGAAAGAAAGTCACTAAGTCCAATCCACACTCCTGAAAGGGGGAGTATCTACATATATTATTTAGAATTCCTCTCTAAGGAATGCTTGTCTCTTTTACCCCACTTATTTGCCTGTTTAATCATTTATTTATATCATAATGGACTTGTGTTTAATTATTTTATACTTTGGTTTATAATCCAATAGTATGTTATTTATTTTGTTGCTCAAACTGTTCCAGCTTTGGCTAGCAGAGCTCTCGGTTAGCTCCTTCCAGTGTCCCTGTGACATGCCCCACATAGCTGTGTTTTTTTGTTTTTGTTTTAGCACTTTCCGAGTCCCTGGCTCTAGAAGATGCTCCAGGCTCATCTTACATATTCATTGTCCCAGCCCTAGAATCAGCCATTTCTCCGAGGGCCCTGGTTCCTTTGGTTGAAAAATGGTTTTGAGAAACAACGAACTGGGCACTGAGTGTGCTTGTGGTTACTGGATGATGTAAATTTTTATCCAAATAAAATGAGCGATCATGTTTTTCAGGAGAGATACAGGTTTTTACTAACTGTATTCCTTTGGGTAGGTGACTTGGGCACACTGGGTCTTGGTTTCTCATCCGTGTGTAAGCGATGAAAAAGGGCTGCTGTGGGGCCAAGGGGGTAACACCGAAGGAACCCCACTTCTGATACTACAGGGCTATGCTCTTTAAAATTTCTTCAAAACATCAGTGATCTGACAGAACAACAATGTCAGAGGTTACTGGAAAATGGGACCCAAGGCAAACAAACAAGTTAGGAAACTGCATTTGTCCTTTCCAGAAAATCTGAATTTTCACTCTGACAGCCTCACCTGTCAGAGAGAAAATTGGGGTGAGGTGGGCAATGAAGATGCTCAGAACCAGGGCCAGCACCAGGCAAGAAATTCAGCAATGAGTTAAATGTGAAAGAGCTACAACCGTGGGGGAGGGTAGAGAAATTAGTGCCCTTCTTTGAACCCTCTAACTCTTTCAGGAAACCTCGAGCTCTGAATTTGGTTTAAGGTGGGTCTCTCTCTAACGGAGAGTACTTTCAGATGCCTTATAAGGGAAAGAAAGTACCTTCAATTTGGCTTTCATATAAATCTTACAAGTCATTTTTCAGTAATAATGAACAGCACGCGTTAAAAGATAATTAGACACATAGCAGAAGCAACAGACAAAAACAGACCTGTAAAGGCTTCAAATATTGGAGTTGCTACTACAGACTATAAAACAACCATGCTTCAATGCATAAAGAAATAAAAGACAAAACTGACTATATCTTTGGGGAACAGGAAACTAAAAAGCGCTGTGAATGATAAAAAAAATTTTAAAAATAAAAATCCTAACAATTGGATTAAAAACGTATGGAGTGAGCTACCAGTACATGAGATACACCTAAAGAAAGGATCAGTAAATTGGAGGGTTATCATGTGGAACCATCCAGATCAGTTTCAGTGGCATCAATCACCCCGGTAGCCTTTCGCTCCTTCACAAGTGCACTTCTATTTGGCACCTCCCATCGACCGAGGGTCCCAGACATTTTAGCGAAGAGAAGCTACTAATAATATTTCTGAAACTTCAGGTTCCTGCAAAGGGCTGTGATAAAAGTGGGAAAGAAGCATCCGTGCCTGCTCCACTACCCTCCCTTCGGGAACTGTAAGAAAGGCCAGAGCAGGGCAGCGCTCAAGCTGGCAGCTCAGGGATCTGCAGGAGAGTCCGTGAGATGTCCCACAGACCCAAGCAACCCAGATCTCCCCCAAAGTGGCTGGCTGCTCCCTGCTTACCTCCCAGCTGCTATGAGAACCCGGTAAATGAAAAGAGCAGAAAGCAGGTTGCACTATAAGAATACAAAAGCACTTTGATGCCTTATGTGAAAGTTTTTTGTTTTTTTTACTGAACATTCAGTTTTTGGTTTTTAGTATTAAAAAGTGTCCTCCTTTCTTCTTTCCAAAGTGGGCATTTTCTCTGTGGAGGGTAGTTTCCAAAGATTGCTGCCAGGAATTTTTTCTCCCCTAGATGTACATGCTACTCCTCACTGAGAGGAGAGGTCTTCCCCCAGCCCGAGTCTGTGCTCGCCTCGTGACTTCCTCTGGCCTGCAGAATGCAGTGGAAGTCATTTATATTAGTTCTAGGACTGGCCTTGAGATGACTGGCATCTCCCACTTGCTCCTTGGAAACCAGCCATTGAGCAAAACATTTGGCCACCCTGAGCCTACCATGCTGTGAGGACGCCCACACTGGGCCACACAGAGAGGCAGTGGCCAGCAGCCCCAGGTGTTCCTGCTGAGGTGACTGCCTGCCATGAGAGCAGAAAAGCCAACCTCAGCATGGAGCCCCTGCAGGCACCACATGGAGCAGAAAAGCCACCTGGCCGAGCCCTGTCCAGACTGCAGAATCATGAGAAATAATAAATGGCTATTATTTTAAGCCTCTATGTTTCAGGGGTCATTTGTTACGTGGCATGGATAACTGGCACATCTTTACATGCACTTTTCTTCATAATCTCTGTTCTCCTGAGAAGGAGAAAGATTCTTCAAGGTCTTTCAGGGTCTTTAGTGGTCTAGCTCCTGCAGCCTTCTCCAGGCTTTCCTATCATGCAAGACTTCAGTTTCTTGACGTGTCTGCTCTGTGTACTCCCGTTTCTATGATTTCGCTCATGTCATCAACCCTACCCAAAGGCTCAGCTGCACTGTTCCCTCCTCAACTGAACCCCCCCACACACACCTTAAACTGTCCCTTCCTCAAGGTCTGGCACACGAATGACTTTCACTCCTAAGTGACATCTGCCTTCTGAACTGAGCTTTTTCTTGTGGCCTAGTTCATCAGAAAGCCTCTCCTCCCAAGTATTGTTATTTGTGTTTGGAAAGTCCATTTTGTGTCCCCAGGTATGATGAGCTCCCTCGAATGCAGAGGCTGAGCACACACCTGCGTGTGTCAGCACCTATCAGAGCCTGGGAGAGAGGAGGTGCTCTATAAATGACTGTGCCTTTTAATAGTCCTCTCCTTAGAGCAGCATTTTGGTGTCGAGTCACTGGATCCACCTTCACTGTTGGATGCTGTTGCTGTCCTGTCGAGTCCCCATGACTACTACTCACATAAAAATGCCACAGGTCTTCTTTCTGAATATGAAGAATGAATTAATAGGTTCCAGTAAGAAGAGCAGGAAAGCAAAAAATCACTTAATACATTTTTTTTTTTTTTTTGGCCAAGACAAGGAAAACACTTTTAATTCCCTCCCCTCCTTCTCACGTCAGGAAGTTCATGCACAGTGAATCATTTCCTTGTCACTTAAACTCTGAAGTGTAACACGATCGTGGTAGGCAAGGAAAACACATATATGAAGTCCCAGAGGCGTGAAAAGCCATGAGTGGAAACTGATAAAGATTGGCAGGGCTGTTTTCTGAGAAAGCAAGGAGCTGACAGCTGATCACAAAGGGTTTCTTCTGCACACCAGGGAGCTTACCTGGCTCCTAATCCTCGTGCTCGCCGTGGGAGTCAAGTATTTACGTTCCAGATACCAGGCTCGCTCCTGGAACACCAGCTTGGTTCCATACAGCAGACAAAACTAAGGGTGGGGGACGGGAGAGACCCAAACAAATAGTGGCATATTAGAAAATGCAGACTCCAAGAGGGGAAGGAGAAATAGCATATTGCTTCGTTCCATACAATCATAAAAGTTAATACTTCCTGAATTAAAATGGTCACATTTTGGACATGGAGTATATGCTTTATTTTTAAAAACCATTCTATGGAAAAATTAAAGCATATCTAAAAGTAGAAAGAACAGCACAATCAACTCTCATGTCTCCATCCCCCCAATTCAACAAATATAAACTCATGGCCAGTCTCCTTCGACCTCACCTAGTTTTCCCCATCCCAGGTGAGTCAGAAGCAAAGTCCACTCATACGATATGTTAAAACATAAACTCATATTTCTGTTTGCTTTCCTTCGCAGTTCAAGGTGATATTATTCAGAATGTTCACTTATAGTTTCATGAATTGAGAAGGAGAGCAAACATTTGAGCATGTTTTGATTAAACTTTCATACAAATAAGGTTACTCATTTATATTTTGTTTCACTACGTTTTTCCTATTACAGTTCTGGAACCTACACAAGCAACTCCTTCCTGACGTCAGGGGCATTAAGCAATAATAAACGAGTTTTCCTGTTTGAGCAAGTAACTTGGAAATTAGCTATTCATTTAGCGGTTAATATTCGATAATTCCAACATGGCACGGGAGCAGAAAGAATAGGATAATGTGTCTCCCTTTCCCAGCCTCAACAGCTACCTCCTTCCATCTCTCCTCCCACCTGTGCCCTCCCCTCTGTATTATTGTGAAGCAAAGCTCGGTCATATCATTTCATCCGCGAGCATTTCACTGTGTATCTCTAAAAGATAATGACTCTTTAGAAGTAAGATCATCTCAAAGCCAACCCAAGCAACAGCCACAAAACCCTCTTTTTCAGAGTCAGATGGAGATGACTGTCACACCAGAAGAAAGACCCTATGTCCTCAGTGGGTCATCAGACTCAGCAATCACGCAGTTCGCAGCCGTGTAGACAATACAGGCTCTTCTTTTCCTGAGGTTCTGGGTCATCCTTGAAATAGCATCATTATGAAGAGCCTCAACTCTTCAGTCTTCCCAGAAAGGGTCATGGTATGGCTTAGCAGCTTGTCTATGAACTATATTTAAGATTAATTACGGCTCTTCGATGACCTTGCCCAAGTTCTGGGCAAGAGCTGCTTGGTGAGTGTAAGCTTCCTTTGGCTGTTTTATGTGACAGCAATAAAAATTCTAGCTGACCTACAGACACAGTGAGAGCTACTGAAAAATACTATCATACATCCAGAAAACATGCTTTCTTACCAGAATAATCAATTGTGTAGATTATGTGGCTAAACTGAATCACAAGTCTCTAAGTGAACTTCATATCACTACAAAAATATTTATTGCCAACTCCTAGGTGCAGAAAGTTAATCTTCATTCTCACTCCTCTTGGGTATACAAAGGTAAAGGTCAGTGATAAGAAACCCAGAGTATGGGTATGCCTTTTTTTTTTTAAAAGAAATAATCTAGCCCGGCCAGCTTGGCTCAGCAGTTGAGCATCGACCTATGATCCAGAAGATCGCAGTTCGATTCCCGGTCAGGGCACATGCCTGGGTTGTGGGCTCCATCCCCAGAGGCATGTGTGCAGGAGGCAGCCGATCAATGACTCTCTCTCATCATTGATGTTTCCATCTCTTTCTGTCCCTCTCCCTTCCTCTCTCTGAAATCAATAAAAAATACATACATATTTTTAAAAAAGAAATAATCTAGAACAAAATAAACTGAGGAATCAAATAGATCCAGAGACATGGAAGCACGCAGCAGACACGAATCTCAGAGGGAAGGGCGTGGGGTGCAGGAAGAGACTAACCAAAGAACTTATACGCATCTATGCATGACCCATGGACACAGACAATAGTGCAGTGAAGGCCTGGGGC